CTTGGCTTTTGGGGGCTGTGGGAAAGGGGGCGAGTGGGGAATTCCCATCCTGTGGTCCCCTTATTCTTCTACAGGGTGCTTCAGTGCAGGGGCTGCCTGTTAGCTAGCACCACACTGGAGCACCCTCATGCCCAGCCAGCCCCTCTGCAGCACGTTGAATTGCGTCAGAGCAGCCCCAGGCCAACAGGCTGATCTCCAGGCAGTCTGCCAGCCATGGCTGCTTTGACCCAGCTCGACACACTGCAGTCCTGGGTGCACATGAAGACATGGTATCTGAGAGCAATAAACTCCGGCACAATATGTGGTGGCGTTTACTGCTTTGCATTAATCTCACATGTAGACGTGCTCAGCCGGTGTTCTAGCAGCAGCAAAGTATCCAAGTCATTGACTTTCAGCCAGGGTGCTGTGACATTCCTAAAAGTACTGTGGGGTGCTGCACAATATTAGTATGGGTAGGTGTGCAAACACCTACCTGATTCACAAGTTAAACCCAGTGATTTCAAATAGGAAATCATAGTGTCAAAAACATTTTCACCTGCTGTGATCTGAGCTTTTTGCAAATAGCTCTATCATTTTTCTGTAGTTTAGAAACAAGTGAAAGCTAAGAGCTAGAGGTGCCTGTACATGAGCTTGGACCCCTTAGTTACTATTATGTTTTCACCTGTCCAAGGGCCTGATCCTGAGAAGTGCTGAGCACATTATGGTATGTGCCAGATCACCCTCTGGTACTAGATGTGAATACTTGCACCTCTGGGCTCCACATTACTTTCTATGACCATTCACAGAAAAATTAATGTTTCTACTTGTTCACTAGATCATTTGTGGAGAGTGAATATCACAGGCATAACAATCTGGCTATGTGCTGGGGCACCTGCCACACCCAGGGGCAGCAGTGACTTCTTGTTGCTGCTGTACTATCAGCGCGATTGTGTGACTGGCAGTAGCTAGATTTTTCCACCCTCACCCCCCATAAATTGGCACCTGGGGCAGCTGCCCTGATCGTCCTACCCTAGTTACATCACTGGTGAACATTAATAGGAGCATGAACATGAGAACAGTAAATTGAATGTTGTTCCTGAGTGGTCATTCACAACTGGTTTACTTGTTAGGTTTTCACCTAGATCCAGTTAATACCAAGACCTTTCTTTGCTTTTTCCCTCAGAGTGTCTCACCTGTAGGGAGAACAGGTAAGACGCTCACAGGCGGTAACTGTGTCAACATCAAACTTACCATTTTTATATAAGGTAAATTAATTTTACTCATTCTGATTTTGGGGTTTGTCCATGAGGTAACTGATAATTACTACCCCTCTGGCCCCCTTTCATGGTCGTGGCAGGATAAGCCTGTATTTCTACTTTTGCTGACACAGGAAGGTCTGAAAAACAGTCCTTTTTCTGGCTAGTGAATTGTTCTTGAGAGAATCCTGATTTTGGAGAATACTTTTAATAATCCTACAAATCCATTGTTGTACAAATAATATTTAGTTGACCTGTTATTTGTGAATTGCTCATAGCAATGTTTGCTATTTGTTATTGTTAGTGTATGATTGGTCATTTGAATCACGTCATTGCTTCTGCTCCCTAAAACTTTTTATAGAGAAGGAAGTGGTACATTCAGTGTCTGTGAGGGTGATTTAGGTTAGTAGGGATTGGTGATGGTCAAACAATTAAAAGGTCCTCACTTTTTTGCCCATATGTAATTTCTTATTCAGCAAAGCACTTGCATACCTTTTTAATTTGAAGCATGCAAGTAATCTCATTGACCTAACTGGTACTGCTCATATACTTCACACTGAGCACAGGCTTCTAATTCTTGGTGGTCTCATATTGCTAACTATTCCCATAGCCTTTCACCTTTTAGATGAAACATGTTGCAGGAGCTGAACTAGAAATAGAGAGAGAACTGAAGTGAGTAAGAAAAATTTGTTATGACATTCATTTACATTTTAACCTGCATTACCTGTGGCCATGCTCCTTTTGAGTGCACTTTCTGTGAACATTGGACTTTTTAGTTTTACTGAAAAACCGTGATAAATAAGAAGCAAGTGTTGGTTCTTCTATAAGTATTTGTAGAAACAGGATTTAAATTTGTACCTATAGATTCTGATATCAGATGTTCAAAGTCTCTCATCCAATCAAGGTAAAGAACACCTTGATTGGTAAAGATAACCACATCAGTTATCTAATAAGTCACAACTAAATAATATAACTTGACTTCAAAGTCTTTATCCAGGTCTATCCAGATAATTAAAACACAATAATTGAATCACCAGATTTTCAAAATAATTTAGATACACAACATTGCAGATAGGTGCCATAACAGGTATTTGCCACAACAGAGAATCTGGATGGAAAAATAAATTTTCTAAGAAAACAAAGTTTTATTGAAAAATAGCAGATTGTTGAACTCAAAAGGTTTAATCTGAAAAATCTTAACCCTGCCCAGATTCCTTCTGGGTCTCCCCTGTCACGACCCAGTGATTTTTTGTGCCTTGGCACTATGGAATTTCCTGGCCACATGAGAGCTCCTTTGCACAGCAGAGTGTTCTGCTGCAATTAAGAGCCTGCGTGCAGGAGAGTTCCCGCCAATTTGCAGTTTCCTTTGCAGGATGCATTTCTTCTTTGCAGCACAGAGATGCACGGTGCAAAGAGTTCCCGCTATTCGGATGCAAATTTGTGCCCCGTTATTGGCCAGTGCTAAATTAGTCACACGTGGCGGCTAGTAATTGGCTCGCTGGCCGTTTAAAATTCCGCGCGACTTCCGCCCAAGTCGAAGAGCTTTGAGCACGCTGCAGAGTGTCTCTGAAGTTATCTGACTTGCGGCTGCCGATCGATAGACTGATCACCTATCGATCTTTCTTCCCGTCACCGAGCGCAACCCCGACGTACCCCTTTCCCCGCCGGCTTCGAATTGAGGACGGATTAACTGGCTTGGGCCCCGCCAGCTGGAACAACTCGTGTGGTTGTTCCGACGACCGGACCACCTGCGTCGTGATTGCAAGCGGCGTGAGTAAAGTTTTTTACAACCAATAAGTTGTGTCTGCCTCTCCATTCACCAGCCCACCCTGACGTACGAGCGTAACTCGAGTCGGCCCTGGCCGTCCGAGACATCCCCCAGGCCAGCAGTGTTGGAAGCTGTGTAGTACATGGCCTTGGGACCTGGAAACTGGTGCTCCAGGAAATCCTTGCAACTGCTCAGTGAAACGGACCTTTTTTGAACTTTTAGTAAAAGTAACAGGAATCTAGCACTGGCTAGGGACAGACATTCAGAAAGCCTGAGCTTGACTTGATTCAATCTTTGCAGGTTACTCTAACCTGCCACATCTTTGATGCTATAATTGGTGTAGACTCCTAGTCCAGTTTGGAAGGCAAACACTTGGGTGCCTCACTTTCTGGGTGGCATCACAGGGCCTGCTCTCCGAAGAGAGTCTTTGCATTGCTGATCTGCTATAGCCACAGCCCATTCTCAGGGCTCTCTCTCTGTACAGCACAGTCCCCTTTCAGGGCGTCTGGAGTCCAGAGATGGGCACTAGGGTCCCTGTGGCTAGGATGACACTGGTTCCCTGCAGGTGTTATGTACCCTCCTATGTGTGAATGGGGGACAGGACTTGGTCTCTATCTGCAACTCTATCCAAGTGCACACCTTCACTTCTAGGCCCTGCAGGGTCTTGTTTACATTGTCAGTAGCCAGGCCTTGTGGGGCCTGATTGGACATGTCTTCCAACACTGCCTCCTAGGGTTGATCTCTTCCTCTAGATCACCCGATGCAGTTGCCCAGTGTGCAGACCTCCTAGCCAAGCCCCTACTGAAAAACCTGCAGCTAGCAGTGTCAATGATAGAGGTGCCTTGGGCACACCAGAGGATGTTCCTGGGCAAGATAATTCATATTGAGGACATCCTGAACTTTACCAGGCAGGAGTGGGCAGATCCCTCTGTGCTGGCTTGGCATATGCATTTGCTTACACTGTGCCTGCTCTACCACTTATTCCAGGAGGTCAAAGCTGCCCTGTCACTCATTTCCTTTGCTTATATCCAAGAGATCCTATGCAAAGACAGTCTGCACATGCCCATGTGCCCCACCCCCTGGAGCTTCTCATGGACTCCTGCCTTGCCAGACCCTACCACATCCCCCAGTATACTATCATAGAACTATCATACTACCTCAGTTTGATTTATTTGTTGAAATAAATGAACCCAGAAGTTCTTACCTCAGTCCATATATGCTTCTATGTGCTTCATAAAATACCATGTTTATTTAGACATTTGAGAATGGACTAAAAAATGAATGCACTGCTCACTCTCTATTCTTTCTCACCTCTGGAAGGATGGAAAATGTTACTGCCTACAGCAGGGGCGGGTAATTATTTTGGGCGGAGGGCTGCTTACTGAGTTTTGGCAAGTCATCGAGGGCCGCATGACAGGCAGCCTGGGGCAGATAAATATTAATTTTCTCAATTTTTTAGGGGCCCCATGGGCCGGATAGAATGGCCTGGTGGGCCACATCTGGCCCGCGGGTTGCATTTTGCCCACTTCTGGCCTACAGCATATATCCTCTGCAGTTAATTCAAACATTTATCTTTCCAATTTTGTTCATTTTATGACTTGCACCAGCACAAATGGTCTATTCCAAAGCCCATTGAATGCAATGAGAATCCATCCAAAGACTTTAATAAACTTTGGATCAGAACCAAACCCACTTAAAAATAGTATGCTACAGTAGCAGAAAAAAATCTCCTAGGCTTTAAAATAGTGTAATTATTTATTTATACTCAATTTTTATAAGAAATGTAGAATCCTTTATTTTTGTTATAACAAAACTTACACAAACCAAGTTATTAGCCCCACACACATCATAAATGACTCTGTGTCAAGATTTTGTGGTTGGTTTCAAGTTACAGCTACAGCATACACATGTTGTATATTAACCAGGATAGTTAAAATAAATTGGGTTTAAGTGGACAAAATGTCTTGCTTTATTATGTGTCCTATTTTGTCTTACAGAAGAAGGAGATAGCTTAAGGAAAGGTAAATATTTCAATTTCCTTTTTTCATGCAGAGGTTATAATACCTATTTTGTTGTAAAAATGAACTGTGTCATTGCCCATCCACCTTGTTTTGGTAACAAGCAGGACGTGAATTTATATTGAAAGAAATTTGGCCTTGTAGAGCTGAAGAAATCCATCATTTCATAAAACAGTTTACAGTAGACTAGGTAGTTCCAATCTGAATGGATTTTCACAGTATTAAAACAGATAATGATCACAGTACATGGAATAATGACCTTAATGCAATATAGCATTTGCTAATGAAGAAGTAATGTTGCCTTGAGGAAAGAGCATCTGATTGTCTAAGATTGCCACCTACTGGGCAGATGCAATTTAGTGAACACATAAAAGTGGAATTAAGGAAATTGACAGCAGAAACCAAGCAGAGTGGACCCAAATCTGCTGATAAGAGAGTGCCTTTGCATAGATTTAATTTCTAATGCTGATTTGATTGGGCATGTATCTATTATGCAGTAATTCAGCTTGTGATTGCTGTTTCATGTACTGCTTGCTAGAAGTGTGTGAATATGTTGCCACTTTCTCCTTAACTACTAGAGACTTGTTTCTTTATCTCAGCTCATTTGCTTTAGAAAAAAAACAGAATATAGGAGTAGAAGCAGGTACAGTAGCCGAACAGGCAAAAATATTTTTCAGCAGTCAAAATAAACCATGTTTTCTTTGTCTAGATAAGATTTCAGTGTATGTTTTCATCACAGGCTGAAAAGTCATGAATTTTGAGACTTCTGCAATTTATGGAAGCATCTGATTTCACATACAGAAATGAGGTCTCATCATGTTTTGATGATGGTTTGGATCTATGAATCTGAACTGAACATCCCCAGTTCCGGTGGTGGTTCAGACTTGAAGTTCTAGTTCAGCTCCATTGTGGTTATTGGTAGGTAACTATGACAAAGTAAACCAAACAGCCAGAAAAAGTTAAGGCAGGAGTGGGAAAAATATACCCCCTGGGGCTGGATTCAACCCACTAACTGATTAGATCCAGCTCATGGATGGGCACCCACTAATTGATTGAATCTAGCCACAGCTGTCCCCATAGCACTCAACATGGGGCCAGGCCTACCCACTCCTGCCTGGGGCAGCCCATGCCATGCTCCCACCCACACCCACTGAGAGCCCCCACTCCTGGCAGCATGCACAGCTTCCCAGTGGGACTGCTCCTGGTGTGGCTGCAGCCGCCTGGGTACTGCTTGGCTCCCCCCACCTCTAGTGGCTCCTCCTCCTGCCTCTGCTGTACCACTCTGGGCAGCAGGTAGCTCAGGGAAGTAATGGTGGCTGTGGGGATATGTGCCAGGCACCACATGCCTGGCCAGGCAGGGGGTAAACTGTGGCAGCTCTTGCCTCAGTATGCAGGGTGTCAGCTCCAGCTTCTGGCCACCTTCCACCCACTCCACCTGTCTTGCACAATGAGCAGCCACCTGTGGGCAGCTGAGTGGGTGGAAGGTAGCTGGAAGCTGGAGCCCTCCTCTCCCCTCCCCTGTTGGGCTGGGTGTATGGTGCCTGACATGTGTCCTCATGGACACAGCCCTTCTCCATGCTAACTGCTTCTTGGAGTGGCACAGGAGGGGCAGGAGGAGGAGAAGCCACTGGAGGCAGGGGAAGTTGAGCAGTACCTGGGTGGCTGCAGCTGCACCAGGAGTAACTCTGCTGTGAAGCTGGGTATGCTGGCCAGGGCCAGGGCTGTTGGCAGGTGCAGAGAGGAGCATGGAGCAGGCTATCCTGGGTGGGAGTGGGCTCGGCTTGGCTCCATGCAGAGTGTTGTGGGGGGGAGTCGTGGGCCAGATTGGGGGGTGGACTGAACCTGCATTGCACTGCCCAGGTGAGCTGTGCTTCACACACCCCTAATTCTCCTCTCCCTTCCCCAACCTGTGACCGGCTACCAGAACCTAGCATGAGGGTGACCCCTCCCTACCCTTCCCTCCCCACACGACATACAAGAATAAGACTTTATTTTGAGCTATTATGCAATCATTTCTACATACACTACTGAAAAAGACATATATCAGGACAAAAATAATTTTTTGAAATAAAATTAAAATACATTACAGTAGATGCTTGATTTTTAGCATATGATTTATTTTTAATGTATAATTTGTTAAAATGATATCTTCTGAGAGATATTATGTGAGTGGCCCTTGACAACTCATCAAAGCTCACTACATGTCCTGCCAGCTGAAATAATAGCCCAACCTTGGGTAAGGGCTACCACATGGCTGTGTGGGATAGATGAAGAAAAGAAAGCCAGATGCAGGGGAGTGGAGAGTGTTAAATGTATAACCAAACCCACAACTGCTGTTTGTTATTTTTTTATAAGAAACCCCCCCTAGCTGCCTCCTTATTGCCACCTCTAAAGCATTCAAAACCTATAACTTGGAGTTTCCAAAAAATGAGATTAATTTAAAATGACAACAGTTAATAACTCATAGTTACCTTCTGGGCTAGGGACAGACATTACACATAAACTGGCTTAAGTAATTAGAAACTGGTTTAAACCTGTAAACAGATGTTCAGTACACATAAAATGGTTTGAAAATCACTGAAACTGGTTTGAGATAAACCTGGTTGAATATAGTATCAGACTTAACTGATTTGGCTCAAACGGGTTTATGCAATGTCTGTCCCAGACCACTTGCTGGTTTAAGATAAACCAGACACCCCCAGCATCCTGTCATGCTCCCTGTCCTGGGTGGGTCTCTCTGCTCTACAGCAGGACTGGCCCCTTCCCTATGCTCCCTGGCTGAGATTTGCAGTTCCTGCAGAGATTTGCAGGCACAGCAGGGTCTGCTGGCTTCCTTGTTCTCTACCTCCCCTCACTGCTCAAGCAGGAAATCCCCTCCCTTCCCCCCCCCTGCATCTCCCACAGCATGGACCCCAGCCCCAGGGACCCTAGGCATGTAGTATGCTAGCTAATACTGAGAGGTGTCTGTGTGTGTGTTTCTCTCCAATTTCACTGGGACAAGCAAGCAGACAGAACAGAGCTTTTGTAGCTAATCAATATATCAGCTGGTAAATTGTTTAAGCAGTTTGAACTAATGGAGAGAGGCTATTGTTTTGCTAATCAGGTGGTAAAGACTCTTATCAGCTCCTCTCTGGCTGGCTTACTTGCCTGTCAGTTTGCTGCAGACAGTCTGACAAGTAGGGAGGGAGATTGAGAAGCTCCATATCATCAACAGATGCATGCACTGCACATGCTCCCTTGCCTCATGCTAGCCCAGGGCTGGGGGCTGACAACACTTCTGCCTCTTGAGCAGCTGGTGGGGAAAAACCTGGGACTATGCAGGCAGAGCTCCCTAATGAGAGAGCCCTGCCAGGGTCTGGCCATGTCCCCCTCAGCTCAGGTCCCTGAAGAAGGGAAAGGAGGGCTGCTGTAGCGCCCCCCGGCTTTTAGCCTGAGCCACTGCAGGCATGTGCCTGAATTTCCTCAGTCCAGAGAGAATGTCTGTTCAGTTTCCAAC